CAGCTCGGCCAGCTGGGGGTTTCCTGCACCCTCCTCTGAAGCTGCTGGTGCCAGCCAGTGTCGGAGACGGGATACCGGCTGGTCTGATCCAGGCTGCCATGCTCCTAGACAAGACGTACCCAGCTGCTGAGCCACGCAAGCGAGTGGTTAGGGGGAGGGAGGGAGGGAGGGAGCCAGGATATTGGGCTGCTCTACCATTGACCGGCTGAGCGTCTGGTGGTGGCAGGGACCCCACATAGAAGCAGGCCGCTGAGCTAACCCAGCGTCTCTCCCTCTGCTTCTCACAGAAGCAAATGGACGACGCTGAATTCCAGAAGATCATGAGCGACCTGGATGTCAACAAGGACAACGAGGTGGATTTCCAGGAGTTCGCCTGCTTCTTAGCCTGCGTGGCCATGGGCTTCAACGACTTCTTCAAGGATCAGCGGCAGAAGCAGCTGCGTAAGAAGTGACCCCAGATGCCTGCGGGGCCGGGATTCCTGCGTCTCAACCCCCCGTGGCCCCCTTGTTTCCAGTGTAATCACCCGGGCTTTCAATAAAAGTCTTTCTAAAGACGCTTAAGCCAGGGTGTGTCTCAGGAGCGAGATTTTCTGGGCTCATCTCCAGGGCTCTGTGATCCCAGAGTCTCATCTGAGCCTTTCAGAATCCAGCCGGTAATGAGGGGAGGGGGGAGCAGTGGCCTCCATAGAGAAGGCTCAGGTCTAACTTCCTGGCTAATTAGCCGTTTCAAATTACTCATCAATTCCCCCTGCCGATTCCTTTCGGCCTAGGATTCCCCATGCTGCGTCCCAGCCCGGGGGCGATTGTTTTGGAAACTTTGAGCCTGATGATTCAAGCCGTTTCCGAGTGACGCAAGCAGAAAAGGAAAAAAAAGGACCCCACACGCTGGGCTCTGCATGCTCTGAGCAGAGCCTCGGCGCGCCTGTAACTCGAACCACATGGCCCAAGCTTGGGCCGACTCGGCTTGCAAAGCTCTTGGTGCCCGAGCTTTGGCGGCCCACGCGTGTGAAGGGCTGTGCAAGGCCAGCCTGGAGCGATAACCTCGAATTCTCCCAGCTGGGCTGCATTCTCGGTGGCTCCTGAGACCCCGGCCAGCCGCATAGCCCTGTGGCTAAAGCCTCCCTGCACCGGTCAGTTCCCCGTAGGTCCTTGTGCCGCCCTCCCCCCGTAGGAGCCGAGCGCCTTCCCGCTGTGCATCCAGCCACGGGACGAACGTTGGGAGGTCGCCTTCCACCGGTGAGCCGGGTCGTTTCGCTTCCCCACGATCCGTCTCGAGAGAGCAGGCAGGAGGCTCAGGCCGGGCTTTGAGTTTCCTCATTCACCCGTTGCTTCGCTCACATCGAGCGTCGGTGAAAACACACGTCGACTCCTCCCGGAGCCACGATTTAGAGCAGCAGGGGTCCAAGGCAGGTGGACACGGACCCACGGGGCAACCCTGCCCCTAAGGCAGGCGTCTGGGCTATGCTGAGAGGGTGAGGGGGTCAGGAAGCGCGGGACTGAAGTAGAGAGGCCCCTGGATCTGCCAAGATGCTGAAACGCTGAGGGGGGACCCAAGGCCAGGGCTGTTTGCAGCAGGGAAGCAGCTGGAGGCTTGGAGAGGAGACGTCCCCTAAGCCACCAGAGGGACTAGACCCCCCGGGAGAATCTCAGAGGCTGAAGAGGCCTGGAATTATAGAAATGTCAGGCTGGAAGGGACCTCGCGAGGTCGTCTAGTCCAGTCCCCTGCACTCAGCCAGGACTAAGTATTATCTAGACCATCCCCAACAGGGGTTTGTCCAACCTGCTCCTAAAACCCTCCAGTGACAGAGATTCCACAACCTCGGTCAGTAATCAGTTCCAGTGCTTAACGACCCCGACAGACTGTTTTCCCTAATGTCTGATCGAAATCTCCCTTGCTGCAGTTTCAACCCGTTACTTCTCGTCCTGACCCCAGTGATTCAGGAGAACAATTTATCACCCTCCTCTTCATAACAACCTTTTACATGTCTGAAGACTGTTCTGTTCCCCCCTCAGCCTTCTCTTCTCCACACGAAACAAACCCAATTTTTCAGCCTTTCCTTGTAGGCCGTGTTTTCTAGACGCTCTCCTCTGGGCTTTCTCCAATTTGCCCCCCCGCCCCGAAGCGCAGTGTTCAGAACTGGACACTGCTCCGGGTGAGGCCCGATCAGTGCGAAGAAGAGCGGAAGAATGACGTCCTACGTCTCGCTTATAACACTCCAGCTGGTCCATCCCGGAATGGCGCTCACTTTCTTTGCAGCAGTATCACGTGGACTCATAGCCTGTGACCCCCTATAACCCCCAGATCCGTTTCTGCAGTACCCCGGCCTTGGCAGTCCCTTTCCCATTTTGTATTTGGGCAACTGATTATTCTGGGAATCGAATCTGGGGTCGGTCTGAATTCCTGCCCCGTAACGTTTCCAGGGAGCAATCTTGCACGTTACCTCCTGGCACATGGAGCAGCTGAGCTCACGTGGCTGGGTCTGTGCTCAGGTGTGTGGGTGTGGCTGCAGGTACCCAGGTGTGCTCAGCTCTGCAATACCTGCTAGACAGGTTTCAGCTCCCACGCCCAGGGCCTCGTTAGCGGGCGGCAGGTCTGTGCTGGTTATCAGGAAAAGCTGCCGTTAATAGTCATGGTTCAAACAACAGCCACAGAGCACAAAGGAGAAAATGCCTTTTAATTTTGTGGGGTGATATCTGGGGGTCTTGCTAGGCCTGGGTGTCGGGGGGGTGGGGCAGGATGCACAATTCTCAATCCAAACCACAAACGACTTGCAGCATTTATCCAGGTCCAAAGCACCCCCTGGACATTAATTAACCCCGTCCAAGCCACCCAGCTTCCCTCCCCAGGGATGGGACACAACTGAAATAGAGATGCTGGGTGCTGAAGATGGAAATTCAGCTCGGGGAGGCCGCGCCGCAGGCTGGCCGGGGGGGAGGGCGTCTTCGAAGGGGAATTCAGGTTCTTACAGGTCTGCTCTTCCCAGAGCTGCTGGAGAAAGCAGGCTGCATCCTATTGGGTAGAGAACCACACTTTCCCTGCCTCCATTCCCCTCCCTCGCTGCTCGGATCCCCCTTCCGCTTGGCTTGGTAAGTTTTCTGGGGATTATTTGGTTTCATTGCACGGCCTTGCTCCGTAGCTGGCTGCAAAGGGCACTTTGAGAGGCGTTGGGACTCCCTGGCAGGTGCAGAGTGAGGGGGCTGGGTCCACTCCGGACTGGCAACGGGGGCTGAGCTCGGAGCTGCAGACGCGGGCTACAGAGCCACGCCCTGGAGCTGTTGGCGGAGTTCAAAGGGGGGGGGCTGTTGGGTTGGGGATGGTTCTGACCCATCAGCTCAAGCTCTGCTTCCTAGCGTGTGTGTAGCAGAAATCCCCCCTTCATCTCTCACGCCCGGTGCCGGGCAGGGGAAAGTGGCCCAGTGGGGCAGCCTGAACCAGGCCGCCTGGGTTCGAATCCCTGCTTTGCCACTGACTTGTTGCGTAACCCAGAGCCTGTCTTTCACCATTCTGTTTCCCCATAGGCATCCGGGTGGGGATACGGCCTCTCCTTCCCAGGGGTGCTGGGGGACGGTGCTCTGCTAATGAAGGCACGGAGCAGGCAGGGGAATTACGTAGGGGTTTCTAGCCCCATTGCTGCTTTGCACTCTCCCTGGGCGGAGCAGGGACTGAGCCCCGAGCCCTGCAGCAGGACTGGGATCCCGCGGGTCCTGCAGGACCCACTGCTGTAATAGCGGGAGCGGGATGAAACCCGTGTGGGGCTCTAGCTGCTAGGCACTTCTGCAGCAGGAAGGACCCAGCCCCCCGAGCCAGCCCTCGAGAGTTCAGTTCAGTGAGACGAACGCTGCCAAAGCCCCAGGAAAAGCTGCTCTGGTATGGGTCAGACGCGGGCACGGCCCCCAGGACAGGGTTACACACGAGGGGCTGGGCTTTGCCTCCCTCCCTCTGTCTCCTTCTGAGGCTACGATCCTGGCACGCCACATTTGTAGTCGATTTCCCGGCAGAGAGGCAAGGAAAAAACAGTCAGTCACGGCGAGGTCACCGGATCATGTCGTTTTTGCTCCATCACCGTGCCCCAGAGCACAGTGGGGGGTGCTGCAAGGTGAGACCTCGCGAGGGGAGGCTGGAGAGTCAGCCCCCCCCTCTCCCCCCCGAAGTGCCATTTTCTCTCTCCCAAGCCCTGCACTCTGCTGTCCATAGATCCATAGATTCTCTGGCCGGAAGGACCGGCTAGTCCTGGATCAGGAGGCCCCAGAACCTCGCCCGGGGATTTCGGCATCCGGCCCAGCACAGCGGAGGTTGGAGACAGGCACCCAGTCTTGATTCAGTGACTTCCAGCCATTGGATCTTGGGACGCTTTGTTCTAGTAAAGCAGCGCCTGCTCTCACGCGCGTACTCGCAGAACGGGATCGCCTCACCGCCGAACCAGCTCTTGGCTAGAGGGACGGAGCGCCATTCGGCTCGCGCTGCAAGGCGGGTTTGAAAGACCTGGAATCATTCCGGTAGCTCTTTTCATAGATTCATAGATTCTAGGACTGGAAGGGACCTCGAGAGGTCATCGAGTCCAGTCCCCTGCCCGCATGGCAGGACCAAATACCGTCTAGACCATCCCTGATAGACACTTATCTAACCTACTCTTAAATATCTCCAGAGATGGAGATTCCACAACCTCCCTAGGCAATTTATTCCAGTGTTTAACCACCCTGACAGTTAGGAACTTTTTCCTAATGTCCAAGCTAGACCTCCCTTGCTGCAGTTTAAGCCCATTGCTTCTTGTTCTATCCTCAGAGGCTAAGGTGAACAAGTTTTCTCCCTCCTCCTTATGACACCCTTTTAGATACCTGAAAACTGCTATCATGTCCCCTCTCAGTCTTCTCTTTTCCAAACTAAACAAACTCAATTCTTTCAGCCTTCCTTCATAGGTCATGTTCTCAAGACCTTTCATCATTCTTGTTGCTCTTCTCTGGACCCTTTTCTGTCCCCTTTCAGCTCTGCCGGCGGCGGGATGGCGTCTCCCATGGAACAGGCCCTCGGGGTGCTGGTGGGCACCTTCCAGAAGTATTCCGGCAAGGAGGGGGACAGGTACAAGCTCAGCAAGGCGGAGATGAAGGAGCTGCTCCTCACGGAGCTGCCCAGCTTTGTCGGGGTAAGTGGAGGGGGATGCGGGTGGGGGACTCTAGGGCTGGACCGCAGGGGCTCGGCCTGACGCTTTCAGAGCTGACGGGCGTCGAGCAGACACGCAGCCAACGTGGTTTCCAAATAACAATAGCAGCTGATGCGGCACCTAAAGCCTTAGCTCTTTACAAAGGAAGTATCCTATGGGGAAACTGAGGCAGTGATTTCCTTAAGAGTCCTGGCTCCCAGCGCTGAGCTGTAACCACTATACTATCCTTCCTCCTCCCCATCTATCGGCCTGTGGAGCCCGGCTTCCTATTTGACCAGGGTCTGGGCCCAAGCTGCATTCGATGCCCGTGTCTCTCTCCTCCCCCCGCTGCAGGACCAGGTGGACGAAAGTGACCTGAAGAAGCTGATGGGGAATCTGGATGCCAACGGGGACGAGGAACTGGATTTCCAGGAGTACGCGGTGTTCCTGGCCCTCACCGCCGAGCTGTGCAACGAGTTTTTCCGGGAGTGCGCCGACGAGAGGAACCGCAAGATCTGAACCCCGAGCCGCCCTGCGTGGCCGCTGTGTGTGAACGGGGTCAACGCACAGTAAAGTTGCTTCAGCCAGAGGTTTCCGTTGTGTCTCGTGAGCAGGGCTGGGATCGGGCCCCCGGAAGGCTTCCCTTTCCCCCTCGTAACGCCCCTGGCTTCCCGCCTGACCCAGAGGCTGCTGACACAGCCCGCCATGCCCGTGAAACCTGCGTGGCAGGAGAAGGGAGGGGGTTAAACCATGTGCTGGGCAGAAAACCCAAGTCTGATCCGACTCACAGGGACCTCACACACCCTCTCTTCCCAGCAGGCGCCCAGATACCCCAGTGACGGGCAGGGTGTCGGGACCTGGCTGGGAACAGCCTGGTATTCCACCCCGGGCGATGCCAACCCCCTTGAACCCGCCTCCCCCAGCCCGGCCCCACGAACGTGGCATTGGCTTGGTTTCGCAGACACATGGGGGGAGTAGGCACCTGCCTGCCTCGGGGGCATAAATTCAGAGATGCCAAGGCCAGGAGGGACCGTTGTGAGCCTCTCGTCTGCATAGCTCCGGCCAGAGAACGGCCCCCACAGAATTCCTAGAGCCGAGCTTTTTGGAAAACATCCCATTGGGATTCTTAAATTGCCAGTGATGGAGAATCTCTCCACCTCTTTGGAAATCACCCCTCTGGGTAATGACTCTCTCTCGGAAAAATTTACCCCTTAGTCCTTCTCGGAATGCGGCCCCGGGCCGGTTCTGTGCGCCTTTGCTCTCCCGGGGACGCAGCCGGGTCCAAGAACTCACACGGCCGAGCTCCACGTCCACCCAGCTGCCCTGTGTCTGCACTAGAACATGGTGAGCAGCGCTGGAGGCTCCCGGACTATTTAAAGGGACACTGCCCAATTCCTACCCGCCCCAGCCAGGGGTAGGGAATCTATTGCTTTTATACAACACCCTTCCCCCCATCTAAGTGCTGTAGGACACAAAGCGCCACTGAAATGCAGCCACCTCTGAGGCGGAGGGAGGCAGCGACCCCAGCGCGCTGCACAATCGAGGATTTTACGAGCCAGGGAGAACAGGCAGAGCCTTTGCTGATTGTGCCGCAACCTCTTAAAACGAGGTGGAACTCACTGCTTAATCTCAGCAGGGTGGAGTCTGACCTGGGCTTGCACAGAGATCGGGCATTTCAGACCATGAGCCCCCCTCTCTGGGTCGGTGGAGTTGTTATTATACAGAGCTTAATTTTCTTGACCACTGGCCCCTTGCTGTACTAGCCACTAGACCCCACTCCCTCCGAGCGCTGGAATGGACCCGAGTTCTCCTAGCAACCAGTCCCCTTCCGCGGCATCAGAGCCGGGAACGGAGCCGCGCTGCACCATGCCAGAAGGCAGGAAAGTTGGGCTGAGTCCTCACTAAATAACCTTCTTCCCTCGGGTAGGAAGAGGTGCCAAGGGGAGGGGACAGGCACCGGCTGCTGAAACCTTCCATGTCCGAGGATGTGAAGAGGACATAGGGAAGGGGGGGAGATAGGGATGGAAGGTGCAGAGGACATGTAGGGAACTGAGCTCCAGGGGCTGGGGGTAAGCTGCTCCTGGCAAACGTCTGCCTAAACCAGGTGACTGCATCACTGTACAGCCATCACCCATCACCTTCCCCGCCCCCCGGGATCCATTAGAGCCTTGTCTATCACGCCGGTCAGTCAGCTCACGAGCTATTCAGGGCTCAGCCTGCACGCTCTCTGCACGCCCCCTGCCTGCATACAGGTGCCCAGCGCTACCAAGCAAAGCAGAAGCAGAGAGAGAGTCCGGCTGCACGGAGCTGCTGAGACGGGCTTTTATTTCCGGGGAAGAGCCTTCAAAGTAGTTAAGTCTGGTGCTTACTTTGGTCCAGGCCTGAGCCCCGGGCCTGGCCGTTCAGAGCCCCGGTGCCTCTGGGCTTGTTGCCATAGTTATGAAGGTTAAAAGACTGCCTGAGCCCCGGCACCTCTTTCAATACGAATGAAGCCCTGGGTAAGTCCCTGTGCCGCACCGGGTGTCCTGACTGCAACCAGGCTAAGTTAGCGGCTGCACACGGTGCCTAGGACCTAGCAGCCCCCCTGTGACGAAGTGGGGGGTTTTCTTGTTTTTGGTGGGGTTTCAATGGTTTGCATGCGGAGGGGGTGGGACTCAGTTTCCCTGGGTGTTACTGGTTTAACGAGGTGAGGGGAGAGGGAGTTTACCCCGGCGACTGGGCGACCCGGAGACCCAGCTCAGGAGTTGCAGCCGGTTCTGGACAGTGGGCGGACAATGGGCTGCAGAGTGAGGACCCAGTGACCTACCCAGCCGGTTCCAGCCAGAGGACAGAAGCGAGGAGAGGAGGCCTCAGTTTACAACCCTGTTTACCTGGAGAGAAGACAATGGACAGAGGCGGGGCCTGGGGCCAGTGATCTCAGATGCCCAGCTGGGAGCAGGGGGGCTCGGGGCTGGAGAGGGGGAAGCAGGCAGAGCCCCCCTGGATAGAGAGATGGGGGTGCTGTGCTGAGGGAGGCCAGGCCTGAGGCCCTGAGAGTTTCCTGTGTGGGTTCAACTCTCAATAAACCCTCCTGTTTTACACTGGCTGAGAGTCGCTCCGGTCTAGAGAACAGGGTGGCATTAACCCCTTCGGGCGTGGAGGCCCCGGGGGTCCCGAGCGAGGGGACCCACAGCGAGAGACAGACGTGCTAAGGCTCAGAGAGGTGCGGCTCCAGGAGGTGGAGGGGCCTGACCCCGAGAGAGAGTGGACTCCCGAGAAGGGCTGTCGCACTGAAAGGGGCACCCCCCACGGACCGCACGGGGCCAAGAATGGGCACGATCTGTGAGTCCGTGACACCCCCCACGACGGAAACAGGACGGCCTCTCCTGCAAGTCAGTTGATCATTTAAATCTCCTACAAGATGGAGAAACTTCAATCCCACCCTATGGGGCTGCCAGCTGTGAACTAGCCACGCTCCCCCGCCCCCACCTGCCCCTGCCCAGCCTCATCTAAAAAACAGAGTTATGTACTACGGTCCTAGGCTGCTCATCTCTGTGCCACACCCACATGATTCACTCATCTACCTAGAGCAAGAGCCTGCATGCAGAGAACCAGCATTACAATCCTTCCTTGAAACGCTACACCCCAGAGACATCCGCCTGGGCTATTTATAAAGGCCTAAACCACAAACAAAGGCAGTTATTTTTTTCCTCTTTAAAACATCCCTTCTCACTTTTTCCACAACTTCCCCAGCACTGAAAATACTCAGCTCTCTCCGTGCCTTTCCCTACCCCTGAGCTGGTCTTTTATAACACAGCTGGCCTGTCCCACGCCCCTGAGGGGAACCAATCAGCTTCCCACATTGGGTAAGGAAATTGACAACAGATTTAACCTACTTCTTAATTGGGAGACCAGATTCAAACAGGGGGCTGGGGGAAGTTGTTCTGCTAAGGTGATCTTTAAATCAATTATTTAAAGGTAAAACTGCAGACAAGATCCTCTCCCTGTGCCAGAAGCAGCTGCCTTTCCAGAAAGGGCTGTATACAGCTGCAGGAATTTGTGCCTGTTTTCTATTTATTTATGATGCATTATTAAAGAGATGTTATTTTTTGTCTGCCAAGGGGGGTAGTTTCATAGCCCTGCGTTCTCCGGGTGAGAAACCGAGCCCCTGAAGGTTTAACGACACATCATTCCCCAGCCCTGAACCACCCTCTCAAAGGACGTAAAAGCTCAGAAATCGCCAGTGAGCTTTTTCCATCTCACGATGAGCCTGTCCCTCTTCGCTCCTCGGTGTCTCTCTTAGCGCCGCTGGGGCCAGAGTAGCTGAACAGCTCACAAGTTCTTGAAACTATTTATCTGGGAAGTTTTAACAAGTTTACGAATCCTGGGGGATGGATGGACACCAGAAACAAAGCGAGCGCTGCACCTCTGAGCTTTTGTTTAAAGAGACGTTAGACAGGACTATAGTCCTGGGCTCTTTCCGCCTAATCTGGTGTTGCCCTACGGCAGAGTGAGGGACATACAGCACTTGGAACAGGCTGTTGGTTGGATCTCACAGGGGTTGATGTGTTTATCTGCACCCCCCTGGGCAGCAGGGAAGTGCTGGTCACCCCCGAAACGTGGCACAGAAAGTGGGGTCAGGAAGGTGTTGGGCAGGCGAGTTTCAGGTTTAGGGGCCTAAGTCCAAGTCTTGGCTCCACTATGATCCACAAAACGCCTGCTGAGCCTTGTAGGCACCTACGTCACTGCCTCTGGACCCCAGCCCCACTGCCTGTGCACCCACGCCCAGAAAGGCTCGTGCCCCGGGAGCAGAGAGGCGGTTGGCTGTCCTAGTTGTGTGCGAGGCCTGAGCCGGTAGGCGAGCTCTGAGCGCATCTCTGGTCGGGGCCTGTTCAGAAGCTGGCTGGAGGCGCAGCGGCCAGTGCCCATCTTATAACTTTTTGCCCTGTGGCGAGAGCACTCAAGTGGGATATGGGAGACCCAGGTTCGATTCCCTCCCCCCACCAGAGGGGGAGAAAGGATTT